GACTTCCCCAGGCCCTATAGACCCCCCCTGCGCCCTGTAGGCCGCTCTGCACCCTATAGACCCCCCCTGGTCCTATAGACAGCCCCACCACCACCCTATAGACTCCACCTGAAACCTATAGACCCCCCCCAGGCCCTATAGACACCCCGCCAGATCCTAAAGACCCCTCTGCACCATATAGACAGCCTTTGCACCCTATAGACCTCTCTGCACCATATAGACACTCCCCAAGACCCTGTAGACCCCTCTGTACTCCATAGACCTCCCCAGACCCTATAGATCCCTATAGACCCCGCCCGGAACCTATAGACCCGCCCCTGCACCCTATAGACTCCTATGCACCATATAGAACCCGCCTGCGCCCTATAGACCCCACCTGAAACCTATAGACACCCCCAGACTCTGTAGACCCTCCCTGCACCCTATAGACCCGCCCTGCACCCTATAAAGCCTTTTGCAACCTATGCGTCCCCCAACACCCTATAGACCCCCCCCGCACCCTACAGACCCCACCTGAAACCTATAAACCCCCCCAGGCCCTATAGACCCCTGTCCACCATATAGACACCCCCTGTACCCTATAGACCCCTCTGCACCATATAGACCCCACCTGGAACCTATAGACCCGCCCCGCACCCTATAGAGCCTTTTGCAACCTATATGTCCCCCGACACCCTATAGACCCCCCCCGTGCACCCTATAGACCCCAGGCCCTATAGACCCCTGTCCACCATATAGACACCCCCTGTACCCTATAGACCCCTCTGCACCATATAGACCCCCCCCGTGCACCCTATAGCCCCCCCCCGTGCACCCTATAGCCCCCCCCCGTGCACCCTATAGCCCCCCCCCGTGCACCCTATAGCCCCCCCCCGTGCACCCTATAGCCCCCCCCCGTGCACCCTATAGCCCCCCCCCGTGCACCCTATAGCCCCCCCCCGTGCACCCTATAGCCCCCCCCCGTGCACCCTATAGCCCCCCCCCGTGCACCCTATAGCCCCCCCCCGTGCACCCTATAGCCCCCCCCCGTGCACCCTATAGCCCCCCCCCGTGCACCCTATAGCCCCCCCCCGTGCACCCTATAGCCCCCCCCCGTGCACCCTATAGCCCCCCCCCGTGCACCCTATAGCCCCCCCCCGTGCACCCTATAGCCCCCCCCCGTGCACCCTATAGCCCCCCCCCGTGCACCCTATAGCCCCCCCCCGTGCACCCTATAGCCCCCCCCCGTGCACCCTATAGCCCCCCCCCGTGCACCCTATAGCCCCCCCCCGTGCACCCTATAGCCCCCCCCCGTGCACCCTATAGCCCCCCCCCGTGCACCCTATAGCCCCCCCCCGTGCACCCTATAGCCCCCCCCCGTGCACCCTATAGCCCCCCCCCGTGCACCCTATAGACCCCATACCCCCCAGGTTCCCCTTGTCCCCTGTCCCCCAGGACGCCGCCGAGGGTTTCGCGCTCTCCAGGAGATCCGGCAGCTCCAGAAAAGCACCCACCTCCTGCTGCGCCCCGCACCCTTCGCCCGCCTGGTCAGCACCCGGGGGGGGCCCCCAAAACCCCCACGGGACCCCAAATTCTCCCCTCAGGGGACCTCCAAAATCCACCCAGAAACCCCCCAAATACCCCTGGGACCCTCCACACCCTGGGGACCCTAAATACCCCCCAGGACCCTCCCAAAATACCCCCAGGACACCGCCAAATCCACCTGGGATCCCTCCAGCACCCTCTGGGTC